CTGGCAAAACAAAGGCCTCGGTTGGTGTGGGGATAGCACCTGAGCTCCGGAAAGTGTAGTCACCGTTCCAAAGAAAGACCACCTCACGTTCGCTTTTTGGCTCATACGTCAGCATCCTCATGGTATATTCCACATAGTACCTTCTGATGAGAAAAGAATAGTCGAGAAATAGAAGTTAAAACATTGTAAGTGCCATATTTTTGGACTCTGGGGAATTAACCTTGCAAGAGGCGATGTAGTGATAAAGACCTTAGTGAAGAAGTTATGAACTCTTTTTCGACAAAAACATCAGGAGAAACTGGAACCACGTTATACCTACGACTATGTCGCATTTATATTTCACTCTTCCACAGCAACTTGCACCAAGAGAGAACTGCAAAATACACCGAACTGGGAGCTAAGTGGAATACTATGCCATAAAACTGCTGTCGTCTTGTTGCTAATATCTCTGTATTGCCAGAGACGTCCTTGTGACTTGAATGACGTATGCACGCTGGTAGTTCGGATGAAAGATAAAAGAATAAAAGTAGAGGCGATTGAGTGCATATGATTCTTATCACGTAACTGACTTGTGCGTGACAGTGATATCAAGTTAGTTATCAGCTTTATCGCAAGTCAAAACAAGAAGAATGGTGTTCAACAACCAACGTGGAGGTCTAAAAATCTAGTCATCATAACTCATTCTGGAAACACCACGGTCGGTGGCCTTCGTCTTTTTCCATCCATCAATAATCAACAGGGTACCTTCTCATTGTGACGTGAGCGACATTTTTTTGTAGTAGCCTGTGTTAAATTCGACAGTAATTTCAGCTGAATATTGTTCAGTCTATATTCTGACACTACTTACTCAAAGAATTACCATCGATCAGCATGGAAACTGATTCAATGAGTGTCGCATCGACACAGTCCGACGAACAAGAGGTGTGTGTCTGATTCTAAGGAAATAGAGCTGAAGGTGGCATTTTGACATCGGATAGCAGCCGGTGTTTCTTTATTGTATGATCGACTCACCAAAAATCTAGCAGAGCTAGTTCGAACTACTATTGACCATTACCAACTTTGAATCGTACGGTAATAGTTTTCCGAGGAATACACTTTTAAGACTCTTCAGTGAAGTGGATTTGGAGAGTTTTTAGCGAATAGGTTTAGAAATGTTCAAAGAGAACTCACCCATTTTCCCTTATAATGCAAATCTTGTGTATTGATTGGGATTTTGTTGAGTATGTATGCATATTGATTGCAGTAACTTTGATATGGATTTAAAGTAGTGCGTAAAGTGTTATGTTACTTATCACTCGAAGACCTAGCCAACAAGGTTATCCGATTATCGTATCATATCACTTAGAACTTGAGGTCTTAATGTGATAATGCTTCATGTTCATGCACTTCTTCGTGGTGGCGGTATACCAATATGGAAAGAAAGAATACTACTAGATAGACTAAGGAGTGTTTGCTCCATTCCACTCATGCAAAAGTGGTTTTTCACTTTTTCATGTCATATACAGAATTTGTGAAGAGTTAATATTTTTGGTACAAGATGGAGGCTTTTACGACAAAGTGGTAGTTCACTCTTCACAACCAAAAACCAACGTTCTAATTTTGTGGATTTTCTTTCTAGGAAATTCTACTCAACAGCTGATAAGCACTTTTTTTGCGAAGTGACCTGTTGTACACTCTAGTGTAACCAAGTCATCCAGCCTTACAGCATCGCCAATTTGGTGGCCTTCATTCCATAAAAGCTTGCAAATGTCTGTGATGAAGATTTGAGAGCGTCCGGCTTGGCAACCGGAGGATTTCAGGCAGAACAAACACGGCTAGCATTCAACGTGTCATCAACGTCGCTCATTCAACATCCTCACCATTGTGCTACGAAAGCTAAGAGATCGAAAGTTATTAGCATATGTTTGTCTCCGGAAGCCCTCGAGCTGATGCGCCAGCGTGGAATCGCACCAGTTACAGGCAACCGTCAACCCAAGTCCGAACTTGCAAAACAATGCAGACAGGGAATAAAAGAAGATCTCAAAGAGAGAGGAGAAGCAGTTATGGTCGCAGCTGCAGAGGCTGGGAAAAGCATTCGCAAAGCCCACTGAAGCTTCGCCAATTGCAGGACCAAGATGATTGCACTCCGACGCCCAGACGGAGCAGTTATAGCGTCCAGAAAGGCAATGGAGAAAATCATTCACGATTACTACTCAAATCTCTTCCGTAGCTACGTCTTCCTACCCTCATATGAAAAAAAGGAGGATGAATATGTCGTGCCACCGGTTCTCCCCTCCGGAATCCGACATAGTATTTCGTCGGTGAAAAATCGAACAGCACCAGGTTCGGAAACGATAAGGCCTGAACACCTGAGAAACCTTCCGCTAGTCTACGTAAACATCGGCCGGATTCTTCACATGTTACCCATCTGAACGCAAGGTTCCTACTCAATGGAAGACCGGCAAGACTGTGCTATTGTTCCCGAACAGTGACCTCCACGATGTCAGCAACTATGGTCCTATTTGGTTGTTGGCTGTTGTCTGTAAACTATTCACTCGAATTATCCTAAACAAGATTGATAGAACAGTGGACGAAGAACAGCCACGTGAGCAAACAGGGGATAGCAAAAAATTCGGGACGTTGACCACATCCACACAAAAACAAGACTTATTGAAACATTGCGGGAGTACAAAAGACTGCTCTTTCTCACTTTCATCTACTTAACTAAAGCTTTTGACTCAGTTGAGGCAAAGGAGTCATAGAAGCCCTGGACAGCTAGAGTGACCTTGCTGAGTATATAAAAATTTTTCGTGAGCTTTATAAAAATTTCACAACCAAAATATCATCATTCTACAACGATATTAACATCGGTGTCAAAAGTTAGCGAAGCCGATACCATCTTGCCAAAATTATTTACCGCCACCCTCGAGGACGTCATACGAACGTTGGAAGCAGCCATATAACTCCAGAACTGAGCAGCAGGAAGTCAGTGGATTGGGGAGATTTCAACAGCATCAAGCGTGTAGTGAAGAGAACGAAGGACACACAAGTCTGTGCTGATCTTTCCCAAACCATGGTCCTTCCTTCACTTGCTTCAACGTAAGCGTCAGAAACCTAGTCGCTGCGCAAGATGGGTGAAGGATCACTCAGCGTTATAGAACGCGCAGTCGAATGGACGACGCCAGGAGTATCATCTATCACGAAAGTGAGGAAATGGATCCGAAGCTCCGACCTACGTTGTTAACCAAAGACACCATTTTAAATTCCAGATTATCGAAGATAAGTTGGGCCCAACGCCTAATGCATGCGGTGGACAAGAGCCGTCTGTGGCTTTATTCCTCGGGATGTCAAATGTACTGCAAGAACACAAACGACCGGGTGGTCAGAATTTTTCACAATTCACTGTAGAATAAAGATATGGTGCTCAAGGAGTCTCTAGGGCGAGCAGAACCCATTGGGCTACTCTTGCACGCGACAGGGAAAAATAGAAAATTTGCCGGCGCCCGCTCGAGTCACTCGACGGTTAACAGAAAGGCGGATGACTAGTGACAGATGATAGCAATGAATAGCGTTCATAGAGGAAAGCAAAAATTCTCAAGCAGCATCCAAACCCACGCTTTAATCAGAATATCTTATTCGATGATGAAGGTGAGGAAACGAATCGAACAAATGTACTGTTAGAATCCGATGTCACAACACGTAATGCTGGGTTGCTTGAAACGTCCTGTCATTACCGTCTTATTTCCCCATAATTCTCCAAATCTAAACTTTTAACTCATTTCCCACGTTTAGGCTGCTCACTATGTTTTGTTTCGTAGCTGCACTTTATTCGATAGAATGGTGGACTTTGTTGATATTAAGAAGTACTCCAGTAATATTGAATATTACGCCATCCGCTCAACAAAAACACTCCTTAATAGCTCAAATGACCGACTTTCTGTATACTTCAGAATAAATAATCGTTACGTCTTTATATATATTCTAGCGAACTGCCATTATTGAGCTAATGCGAGGTTGATGTAAGTGGTCGTTGTTGTTGTTGTTGTTGTTGTTGTTGTTGTTATTACGGTTGTTGTTCGATGGCTTCGGCGATTTCGCCTTCCTCAGAGCCGTGCTGTTGCGAATGGGACTACGCTTAACAAGGGCATCTCATAAGAAAATATAAAAGGTAAAGGATAAAGCTCTTGGCGTTGATCAATCCCTGAGGGATGAGCCGTACATTCGGCTTCATTAAGTATCGTTTAGAGGTGATTGAATGCATATCTGGCCATTATAATGACTAGCGGTGGCCTACTAATGTATCGAGCCAGTGCTGCTATCTTCCCAGGCAAGTCTGCTACCAATTTGTCCACTCTGGAGGGATGATGGAAGGCTTGGTGGGCCATGGTCGCGGGGATCGATTCCACTTGTGTGCTGCAAGGCGCCTCCGACCACTGCGTTCTTTTCCAGCTTGCGGCTGAATCGAATCTTCGCGCGAAGGAGGCGGTGATCGGAACCATATATATATATATAT